TTGACCAACTGGACAGCTCACTCCCATGTTTTTCACTTCTCCTTTTTCATCTGTGCACAAGGACTGACAGGTGGTGGTGGGGAGGCATGCTGTACATTCATAAGGAATGGAGTATGAAATTGACAGCATGACAGGAAATGAAAACATAAAAGCAGCTTTCAATAATGGGATATTTTATTTACTTTGGTTTCATGTCTGACGTAACATTCTCTCTGATAGTAGATGGCACATAGGTCCTTTTGCTTTTGTCAAGCTATTGCTACTAACATGACTGGTTGGGCAGACTGCTCCTCTGTCATCTTTGTCCTAACCAGGATTCTTCTTATATAAGGTTACAGAAAGAAACTTCTAACTTTCAACCAAGTGTCATTTGACGTCACAGAGTTTTATTTATTTATGTTTATTATTTTCTTTCTCTTTGGTCAAGTCAGATGCTGTTTTGAACACCATAATTCAAAGATTTATGCCTATACCTTCTGGGTATATAAAAAAACCCAAAAAACAAAACACCTATAACTTCCAACTCTGATAACATCATTTCAGGAACACTCGACTTTTGTGTGTGTTCAGCAAGTCATGTGGCTGTCTTATTGTGTCACAAAGTAGTCAAAAGTAATTAACTCTTTTTTTATTGTCATCAGTCAAAATAAATTCTGTGGAAATGTTGAAGCTGTCTTTTCAAGATAATTTTGTATCTGTCTATATTTCTGAGATGAGGTATTATGTACACTATTTACATTATTTGGACTATTGTCCTCATCTTTGTCGCCATATTTATTACGTTTCGGCCGTTGTACACCATTCCTGGATGTTCTAATATCTTGAACAGAGCATGGGTTGAAGACATCCGTATACCATAAACCGATATTCACCAGACATTACCTCAATTTCAACTCCCACCATCCATACAGCGTAAAGAAAGGGGTCGTCTGCTGCTTACAACACTGAGCAAAAGTCATAAGTGGGCGACCCAGAGACATTAGATAAAGATTTGGTCAGTATAAGTAGTACCCTACAACAAAACAACTACTCTGGATACCTGGCAGCAGCCCCAAAAAACTGGGATTGGCAGGTACAAGAGGAGGACAACAACACTCGGTAAACAGTCTGCCTGCCTTATGTGAAGGGGTTATCAGAGAAAATACAAAGGATCTGCAGTCCATATAACATCAGGAAAGCTGGACGAGACTTCGCAGATATCTCTCCCGAGTAAGAGCCCCCCCATAGAGGAGAACATGACTAAAGACTGTGTGTACACTATCCCGTGCAGCTGCGGAAAGAAATATAAAGGGGAGACAGGCCACCCCCTTAAAGTAAGGCTTCAAGAACACCAGAAAGCTGTAACATGAGGGGGAGTGGAAAAATCGGGCATGGCTGACCACATAAAGGGAGAGAAGGGAGATCACCGGCCTCTGTGGGATCAGGTTGAGATCATAGACAAAGAACACCATTGGAAAATTTGTAAACTTGAGGAATCAGCACATATGCTAGGCAACAAAAATCTCCTGAGCCGACCAAGCATAGAAATGAATACAATATGGGAACCAGTAATAAGGAGTGCCAGAGAAACAAACAATAACAACAAAAATTGCAATATGAGCTCTTGTAAAAACATGTATTGATAACAGCAAAAATTACAATATGAGCCCTGGTAAAAATGGTTGCTGATAACATTAGGTTTATAATACCCAGAAATTCATACACAGATGTCCCCAAGGACACATGGTACAGTGGGTAAAGGTATTAGTTAGACAGGTAACAGGACTCAAAGAGTCTTGAGTTCAATAACTGGTTAAGGCAGTGGAGAACTTGGAGAGAGGAATTAAGGAAATAACTGACAACTGACATCCATTTGACATGGAATGTGGAACTAGAACAGTCTACCCCAGTGAGCGAAATAAAGGGTTCAGTTCAACATTCCAACCACCTGAAGAAGGCCAGAGTATACAATGACAGAAACATAATAAATACGACGACAAAGATGAAGACAATAGTCCAAATAATGTAAATAGTGATGATTTTGTATAAACAAGATTTTAGCTCATAGCTGAGTTGAAAACTTTGATTCTTAAGAGAATGTCTATTGTTGCTATGACATTAACTTAATTTTATCAGACAAATAAGTATTCTTATATTATTTTTCTTACATATATTTATTTTGAGTCATAAGTAATTCCCATTTTGGGGGAACCAATTTTAATGATGAAGATATCATCCTAACTACTGATCATATGTAGTAGTTAAGAATAAATTTGGACTACACTGATGTACCTTAGTTTTTGCACTGACAGTGGCAGCATACACAGTGGATGGAAGAGAAAATTTTGTTCTTTTCTCCATGACAACACAAGGCCCAAAAGATGCATACAGCAGGAATAACACAGGAAAAACTTTGGAGTGCAGTTGGTCTTTTCTACCCCACCTGCCATATTCACCTGACCTGGCACCAATCAATTATTACCTTTTTATGATTTTTAATATTACAAAATGCTTTCATGGAGAAAACTTTCCCTAATGAAAAGATTCAAGAGTTTGTTGATAAATCTTTCGCATCAAAAACCTGAGGGAATTTACTGAAAAGCTATCAAAGAGCTGCCTGATAAGTGGCAACAAATCATTGCAAATAATGATGAATATATAATTGAATAAAATGTAACTTATTCTTTGATAAATACAAATGGAAATACATGACTCGAACTAATATAGTTAAATCAGTTAACAGAAAAAAACAGAAAATTCGACCTTGTTAACTGAACGCTCCTCTGTGGCCAAATAGTTAAAGGCACGTCAAGCTAAATGACGGTTTCGTATAGGATACAGGTCCAAATCCTGTCGGAGGATGAATATTTTCTGTGAAAATTTCTCAAACATTCAGGCTGGTAAATGTTGTTTAATACTGTTTATTACAAACGGAACATTTACTTTAATATTTGTATCTATAAAAAGAATGTATAAACATAAAAATGTCTTAAAATAAATGTCGGACTTTGCCCCATTTCATATATATATATATATATATATATATATATATATATATATATATATATATATATGTGTGTGTGTGTAAAAATATATAGAAAATAGGAAAGAACTTGTTAGGTAAATAATCCAAAGTTCTTTAGTATTTTTGTTATTATTTTTTAAAAATAGTTCTCGATACAAAAGTAGAGCATAAATATAATTATCTATTTAAAAATATGATTCCAACGCTACATAAGAGTTCATGTTTCAAAACAAGAGCCGAAAACTTCAATATAATTATTTGAATTAAAGTACCAAGCTCTGTTCCATTTTCAAGCGAATTTTTTTTTTTTGAATAACTAATTCCTGAAATTTACGTGTTTTATAAGCATATTCATTATTGAAATTAAAATTACTATGGTAACGGCTAGAGCAATTGTTTAAAAAAAAGAGGCGTAAGGGTTAATAATTTGTATCAATATCTCAGTTACATTCAAAGACGTCAAGTCAGGGTAAGGTTGGGGTGTCTAAATTTAAAACGGAAGATGACATCGTCTAGTCTGGTTAAGTGTCTATGGAGATTTATTTATTTTTTTTATTTTATTTTTTATTTTTTTCTGAAAGGGTTTTGTGTATATAAAAAAAAACTGTCATAAGTCGCTTTACTGCTGTGTATTCTGACCTGACAAAGGAAGAAATAGATATAATATCTCAGTACAAAAAAATCTGTCCTCATTCATAATGGGGACCAATGGCTTAAAAACAATAATGACCATTTTGACATCACTAATGCAGTTTTAATTAAAAGGGAAAGTAACTTGAGATTAAAATGTATAGAAAGTGTACTAATTTCTGAGTCTTCCATATTTATGTTCATACAGCATATCAGCTTTTTTTAACAAAACTATGATTACAGTGTGGGATATTTAAAAACAACAGTGATAAAGATAAAAATGGTAGAAAGTCAAGTACGGTCAGCTAGGTCATACATCTAAACGCTTTAGATGTCAGAAATTTAAAGTTAAGTGTCTTTGCATATTCAGCATTTTTCCTAATTTATAAATGTCTATTTATATTTTCATTCTCTTCGTTTTTGTACAATTCCATCAGTAAAAACATTATTTAGTTTGAAGGATAAAATGTATCACATAAAATATTTTCCATTTTATCATTCAATTCCATGGGAAACATATAGGTTCATCTCTTCTCCCCTACCAGCTATGTGTTAAATAGTAGGACTTGTATCTGGTAAAATCATTGTTAACACCAAAAATTGTTAATTCTTACAATACAAAATGACTTTACTAAGCCACAAAGAGTTGATAAACCATTAAAAAAAGAAAAAAGCAGTCATCATTCTATTACCCACAATTAGTCTTATATACAGAGTTTATATATTTATTTTCCCATAAGAATTTATACAGGGATTACTTTTCAGGACTATAAAATTGTTTTACAGTAAAACCATGATTTTGAAGAATTGGATGGAGTGTGCGTTCCTTAAATCTGATAACTCCCTTATTTCGTAAAGAAGAAGCAAGTTCTGTACACTCACCTGGGGTGGGGGCACTGAGAGCAGTTGTTTACCATAAGCACCCTGGCTACACATTAAACAACAAAAAACATTGAGATGGGTGTGTCTCTTTCCTCTCTCATGCAGACTGTGGCCAAGGAGATTTTCTCATTTATTTGTCTTTAAAAAAAAAGTTGAAATTGGTAACATTTTTCATTCCCAGCAAACTTTATAGCTAACAAACTTCATACATATCAAGTAACTTGAATGATTTAATCTAACATTTATACAACTTTCTTCAGTAAAAATAAAAAAAAGTCAATTTGTTATGGCTTATGTGATCCACGAGTGGTTGTTTAAATTGAGAGACATTAAATCAATGCTTTACTGTGTAGTGTCATAATCAGTAGCCCTTTCTCATTCCCCCATGTTGACAGGTACTTCAGCTAGTATCACTATGTTTCTTTCATACTTATGGATTTATTAAATGATATTTTTTTTCTTTCTTTCTTTCTACTCCTTACAGGTTACCTATTACTGCCAATGACTTCTGCTGATAATACTAATGACATTCTTATAACAAACCCGGTGAATAATAGCCTACTTAAACAAGAGGTAAGCCTGTTCATTTCTTCACATACAAACACTTGTATTGACTTTGTGATTAAATTATGTTATAGCATCTTCTTTTATGTACTGTGTCCTTTCATGACATGGGCAGTCATGGCTCACCACAAATTCCTATCCTTTGTAGCTCTAAGCAGTGTTTGTCTCCTTACTACTCCTCCCACTCTCTGTTCTGCCATCCATTTACACAAATGTTACTTGCTGTTTCCTTCTGTCTCTTTTGCCTTCTATATCTGCTGTGATGGTCACATTTTCAAAGCCGTCTGATCTTAAATCTAAGTAATTTGTTTCAATTATCTCTAAAATTTTGTTGATTGATTAATTCATTCATTTTCTATGGATTATCAACCCTTTGCAGGTTATTTAAAGCCAGAAAATATTTTTAGATTTAAAATTTTTTTTTTTTTTTTTTTTTGAGATGATAATGATTTAGTGACATGTTTTACTAATTAACCTGTACCTGGGGAGAGAAGTGGATTCATACCTTTCTGAAGGGTATTTGCACGTTAAGTGAATATAACAAACCTGACTGGAATTGCAATTCTGCTCTATGATTAACAATTATGAGTCATTATCCATTACACCCCACCCACACATTTAAGCTTACAGCACCTGGAATTCCCAAGCAGTCATCCATTTAGGTATTGACCAGTTTCAGTGTTGCTTAACTTCGGTGATTGTACAGTGGCATAAACTATTTAAATATCACATGAGTTAGCGTTCTCTCCTCCCTCCTATAAATAGTCACTTGGTCAGTGATTGTAGTGTTTGTACTTGACAAGTAGTTGAGTAAGGCTTGTATTCACTTAAAGTCTCTCTTCAGTTACCAAGACTTATGACAACTCACCCAAATAGTCTACTGGCTGAATCTAATTTTAATATAGGATGACAACCTAGAAGCCAAGGCATCGATCCTAGCTCACCCACGGCAGCAAAAGAATGGCATCATCGGCGTATAGTTTTTACGAACTATGTCAAGGGTTATGAAGAAAAAATTCCTAATGAGCTTAGAGCCTTGATAAACTTTATCAGTCCCATGGCATTTGAGTTTATCAAAACTTGTTCAGACTACATGTTGGACGCCATTTTTATTAAAACCCTAAACAAGATTTTTGCAAGACATTTACTTTCTACAAGAAAACAGGAACCTAACGAAAATCTGGATGACTTCTTCAGGGGACTCAAAAAACTAAGACGGGATTGTGATTTCAAAGATCATACAGCCAAACAATGTGGGGACGAAACTATGCAAGGCACTTTTATTAGTGGAATGGCTTCTCCAGCAATGTGTCAAAGACTGCTGGAAAATAAAACATTGGATTTACAGACAGCTTACAATTAAGATTCATCCCCCCCCCCCTGGATTTAAGAATAACAAAGCTTATGTTGCCCCCTTATTTCCTCTCTGACTGTTTTAATCTGTGAGTGAAATCCTTCTGGCAAAAGGCAATAAAATTAATATCTTAAACGCACCTGAAACAACAATGGTAGCTGTGAAATACAAGCCTGGGAGTACTAATAGAAAAGCTTGTTTCTTTTGTGTGGCTGTGTTGTATCATGAGAGAAATAATTGTTTGGGAAGCCATATGTAACAAATGTTCTAAAAAGGGACACTTTGCTAGAACATGTCAGTCTTGAATAACAAATGTCAAAAGTGCTACTGTGTTCTCTACCAACATAGCAATAAGTAGAAGTGTCGGATGGACTCTCACATGCTGCAATGATTATATCTTATAAAAGGAAATATGTTTGATGCCTTACTTGACTCTTGTGTTTCCGCCAAAAGCTTTATTAGTGAAAAAATACAGTTTATTCTTTAAAATTAAAATGTATTCCTTTGTCAAAACAGGTAACTATGGTACAAAAACGTCTAACGAGACAATCTAGACCATTTGTCATTGTTAGTCACAAATTTAATGATAGACTATATTTGGCCATTTGCCTGAGTATTATGAAAGTCTTCTTCTATGATGTGGTGCTGGGGAGAGATTTTCTGTGTCAGCACCGGAAAGTTATTTTTGAATATTCCTGAACTGGTTATGAGAAATACAGGAATGTGTTATGCTTTAGAGGCTGTAGATATGGAGAACCTCACATTCTTCCCAAATATTACATCTCTATTCAAACCAATAGCTACAAAATCTAGATGCCAAGAAGACCAGAAATTTATTGATATGAGATAAATAAACTTGAAGGTAACAAAATTAATGAACCAAGTATTTTGCCATGGTGTGCCAAAGTCATCATTATTAAAGACGAAACCAGAAGGCACAGAAAGAGATTGTGGATTATTTGCAAACAATAAATATATACATTGAACCTGATGCATACCTGTTGCTGAGGATTGATGATCTAGTTACAAAGCTTGTCAAATACAAGTACTTTTCAACCTTTCACTATCACCAAGTTAAAATAAAACAATCTGACAAAAAGTACACTACTTTTGAGGCCAATGGTCAACTTTATCAGTTTAGTAGGCTTCTTTTTAGAGTAACCAATAGTGTCTCTGCCTTTCAACATTCAATGAAGATCATAAAAAAAGAAAACCTTAAAGGTACACTACATTACCTTGATATTATCATTGGTGGTGAGACTGAAAGGGAGCATGATAATAATGTCAAAGAATTTCTGAAAGTCGTAAAGAAAAAAATTTACTTTAAATGCTGTTAAAACTATTCAGGAGTTAACAAGCCTGAATACTTTAGGATATTGTGTGGGGAAATGGCATTATTATACCTGACTCAGAATAGACGAAGCCATTACAAGAAATGGACCCCTCCCCCCACAAAAATATGAGAACACTTGATAGAGTCATGGAATTGTTTATCTATTACGCAAAATGGATACCTGAATTTTCAGATAAAATACTTCCTCCAGTTAAAGTCGATAGTTTCCCACTGAATAAACAAGCTATGTAAAGCAACTCTTTCGAGGTAGAATGCAAAGCTTCAGATAATGCTATATCTGCAGTACTAAGTCAGAATAGGAGGTCTGTTGCATTTATGTTGAAATCGCTCCAAGCAAGCGAAAAAGGGTATAATATAGTTGAGAAAGAATCTTTGCCAATGATAAATAGCAATGTGTAAATGGAGGTATCTTTTGTTGCGATGTCGCTTCAAGTTATATACTGATGCTAGGTCAGCATTTTTTATGTATGATAATCAAAGGTGTACAAAAGTAAAAAATGCCAAAACTAATGATTGGAGAATGGAGCTTGTTGAATTGTGTCTTATCGAATATCGACCTGGGAAGGGTAACATTGTTGCAGATGCTTTTAGTTATGTCTATTGTGCATCTGTAAATTCTCAAAGTTTGACTCTTGAGGATTTACACGAGGAATTATGTCATCCAGAGGTATAAAGACTTTTGCATTTTGTAAGATCAAGAAATCTCCCTTTTTCTACTGAAGACATTAAAAAAAATTGCAGAGTTTGTGCTGAGTTTAAACCTCAGTTTTATCAACCTCCCGAAGGTACGCTGATAAAAGCTACTGGACCTATAGAATGTATCAGTATTGATTTTAAGTGGCCTCCCCCAACGGCTACTCATAATCCATACTTGTTAGCGAGTGTCGATGAATATTCTCAGTACCCATTTACATTTCCATGTTTGAATATGCACACTTCATTGTTTGTATGGAATGCTGAGTTATATTCTGCCCAGATAGAGGTCGTTCTCTCATATCCCAAGAATTGAAAGAGTATTTGCAGAGTAAAAGTATTGCAATGGCATATCATACCCAAAGTAATGGTCAGGTAGAGCAATTCATCAGGGTTTTATGGAAAACTATTTGCTTCACTCTCGGCAACTAATGGAAAAACACTGGGAATGAGTTTTGCCACAATCTCTTTGTTCTCTTTGATCTCTCTCGTGTATAGCTACTAACTTTACACACCATGAGCGATTCTTCAAGTTTCAAAGGCGTAATTCTCATGGGAGTTCACTCCCATCTTGGTTAATGAGACCTGGAGCACTACTTCTAAGATGAATTATCATAGCTGATTGTACTAACAAGAGCAACCCTTTAGTAGATGAAATTGAACTGATTGATAGCAATCTGACCTTTGCCAATATCAAAGTATCCTGATGGAAGACAATCAGCTGTATCTGTCTGAGATTTGACTCCCTATACTGATCAATCAAAACTCTCTCCACTTTGACAAACTTCACAAATCTCAAAAAATTTCTCTACAGAAGATAGAAGTTTGACACCTGTTCTATCGTCCTCTACTCTAGATGAGTCATCGACCGAAAGTGAAAGTTTTCAAACAGAAAACCAATATCTAGGTCTGACAACAGCTAATACAGACCCTAACCTTGGAGATCAAACTGTATATCAAAGCCCCCCCCCTACAATATCGTTGGGATAAAATTTAATGGAAAGTTTTCTGTCATCAGTTTGAAAAAAAAAAAAAAACAACTCTCTAAACAGAATAGATTTTGTTTGTATTGTTGTTAAAAATATATATAATGATAATAAAAAGAAAATTAAAAATATATATAATGATAATAAAAAAAGAAAAAAGTCCTTATTTTCTAGGAAGGAAGAATGTCGTAAACTATTTAAATATCATGTGAGTTAGCCTTCTCCCCTCCTTCCTATAAATACTCGGTCATTGATTCTAGCAGTTTGTACTTGACTAGTAGTCAAGTGAGGCTTGGATTCACTTCAAGTATCTCTTCAATTACCAAGACTCATGACATATGGGAACCAATGTTTCAACCCTATATGGCCATATGCCCTACAACTTTGTTGTTGATCACATGTTCAGTCCATGATATTCTCAATATCCTTTTGTAGAACCACATTTCTGTTGCCACAAGCCTCTTCCTCATTTGTGAGGAGATTGTCCAGTATTCACAGCCATCTAGGAGGACTGATCTTATGCATTTCTGTTGCCACAAGCCTCTTCCTCATTTGTGAGGAGATTGTCCAGTATTCACAGCCATCTAGGAGGACTGATCTTATGCATTTCTGTTGCCACAAGCCTCTTCCTCATTTGTGAGGAGATTGTCCAGTATTCACAGCCATCTAGGAGGACTGATCTTATGCATTTCTGTTGCCACAAGCCTCTTCCTCATTTGTGAGGAGATTGTCCAGTATTCACAGCCATCTAGGAGGACTGATCTTATGCATTTCTGTTGCCACAAGCCTCTTCCTCATTTGTGAGGAGATTGTCCAGTATTCACAGCCATCTAGGTGGACTGATCTTATGTAGCATTTCAGTATTCTTTTCTAGCAACATTTTCCTTTCTTAATACTTTGCTTAGCTTTTAGAAGGCATCTTTTGCTATCGTGATGCACATTCAGATTTCAGTGTCACACTTTCTGCCCTCTGTTTAAATACTTCCCAGATATTTAAATTTTTGTACTTGCTTGATTTTGGTATCGTCAATTTTTGATTTGTATGTTCAGCTGTTCTTTTTTGCTGAAACATTGTCTTCTTGCAATTGGTCCTTTCTTCTCACTTTCTTTTACTACCTTCTGAAGGTGTTCTTGTAGTTTCCTTTCTGTGTCTGCTTATCAACACTGTGTCATCTACGTATCTTATGCTGTTAAGATTATAGCCACCAATAATGAATCCTGATTCTCTCAGATTGCCTCACTGTAAAGGTTGAATAAATCTAATGAGAAGACACATCCTTGTCTTACAACATTTTCTATTTTTCTATATTTATTCAACACATTTTCTATCTGGATGCAGGTGGTTTGCTGCCAGTATAAGTTCATGATTATTCTAATATCCTTCCCAAATATGTCACAGTTACCTTGCAGTTCCAACAATTTTTTTGTGACATACTTTATGAAGACAGTTAGTATATTAATAAATAGTATATTTATGTTCAAATTATGTTGAAACTTCTCTCAATCATCTTAAAGAATCTTTTTACCTTCTATCAACTTGGCTGATACTAACCTCCAGGAGAACAATTCACTGCACCTGCTTGGTCTTAATTCTTCCACTGACATGAAATGGAAAGATTATATTGAATTAATTTCTAGGCCTGTTGCTAGGAAAGTTAGTTCCCTCTGTTGTGCTAGACAATTTCTTTTGTCAGAATCTATCTTGCACATTTATAAGTCTACCATTTGTTCATGCATTCATGCTTCTGTTATATATCTAAATATTCTTGATAAAATCCAAAGAAGAATCTGCCGTGTTTTGTGCCTGACCTGGCATCTCGGCTTCACTCTTTCCCATCACCATAACGTAGCTTCCCTGTACCTTTTCTATAAATATTTTCACGGTAATTATTCCGGTAAGCTTTCCTCTTTGGTACTGAGGCTTCATGAATTTAAACACAGTATTAGTTTGGCAGCTAGATCTCATAATTTCATTTTTGAAATTGCTTGTAACCATGCTAACATAAATTTTCTCACACTTTTTGCTTGTGGAACTCTCTTTCATCTTTTTGCTTTCCAATCAATTATGATCTTCAAAAATTTATAATGTCAATTGTCATCTTCTGTCTCCTTGAAATCTTTTCTTTTTATTGTCCTCTCCATTTCTTTCTCTCTTCAGTAACCCCTTGCATTTTAGTGGCTTTTATCACCTTGCTTGGGGTGAAATGATAAAGAAAAAAAATTGCATATTGATAACATTTATGTTCAAGGGAAATTTAGATGACAATAGAATAAATAAATAAATAAATAGTAAATATTTACTTTGAAAAACATTTGCAACATTTTTTAAACAAATTGAATCCTTCGAACAGGTTACGATTTGGGCAAAAACTTTCAACTTTATATTTATTAAAAAAATATATCTGTCCACATGTTAGATTTACTGTGGAAATCTTTACGTAATCATTTGATTGAATGAAGATTTTCATGGATTTGTTCAATAAATAATTCTGATGCCTTTTCTTTAATAAAATCATTTGCAATGAATTTCTATGTCTGCTTTTAGTATTTGCTGTGTCCATCTATATATAATCATTAGAATAAAGAAGATTGTGATGGATTTGTTTATGCATTTCTATAGTAAAATTAGTCATGTTCATTATATTACCTTACATGTAAATACTCTTGGAGAAGGTATGACTCTACTGCTTCTCTCCCCAGCTATGGGTTAATTAGTAAGACTTGGATCAGTAAATCGTTATCATCTCCAAAAAATTCATACAATCTAAAAATATTTTCTGGCTTTAAATAACCTTTGAAAGGTTGATGAGAAATAAAAAATGAATGAATATGCCAAAAAATGACACTAGGAACCTTTTTTCTATGGTTTTAATTGGGAAAAGATCTGAAAAAGATGCTAGCTTGTCACAAATGACCTCTTATGAAAAGATCTAATTTATTATGAGCCCTGATTTCTACTTACGATTCTATTTTTTTTTTTTCTTTCTTTCTATGCACAGCCTGATCAGCTTCAGTGGCGAAACGATGTGAAAGATGAAGGTGGCGATGATGCTGATAGCAAATCAGATTCTCCATCTGAGGTCAGATTCATTTAGTTAACTTTTCTTTCTTTCTTTTTTTTCGCCCTCTGGTATTTGCAAGTATGGCCCAAGGGTTAAAACATAAAAGTATAGGATCAAAGAGAGTTAAGACAAATTTCAAGGCCTGTCTTCAGATAGAATTAAATAAAACCAGAATCAAAGCTGGAGACAAGATTCCCAAATATTAGGAGTCTCTCATTTTATTAAATTTTTGTTTGAACAATTTACCTTTCCTCCCACAATAATGTTAATATGAAGTTTTCTTTTGTATATGAAACATTAACACGAGAATTTCTTTTTCTATATTAAATGGCAACTTGAGGTTTTCTTTTTCTATATTAAATAACTGCTATTTCTTAGTGTAAATGAACTTTTGTTGATTTTTCCTTATCAATCAACATTTTAACTATAATCCACTTTAATAAATCTTTTCCTCCCCTTTTATTGTTTTGTTCTTTGTGCAGCCAACGTCTGTGAAGAAGGTGTGGTCATGTGAGCAGGCTGGCTGTAAGCAGGTATTTAAGAAACTGTCCAAATTAAAAATACACCTGATGAGGCACACAGGGGAACGACCCTTCCGGGTAAGCAAAAACTTTTTCTTCAATATATCTTCAGGGACCTGGGTAGACCAAATTTTTAAAATTCATATGTATGAAAGTCCCAAACCTTATTATTACACACATCTGGCTCCTGTTAAGGTTAACAATAGATGTAACAGTTCTAGGAGAGTGGTTTTCCCCAGAGTCTCACTCACTCACTTCCTTCTCTGTCATTTATCATGTGCCTGTAACAAGACATTTTGCTAATAATGCTGGGATATCTAATAACGCAGGCAAATGTAGATTTATGCCTTTATCATGGTCATTACTGCAAAGTGAACATTTTGTTTACACTCAGTCTGGACAACACCTACCCTGGGATGAGTAATAAAATTATGAAGTTGGAGATGAGAAAAAAAAAATTAAGTGGTAAAATATCAGATAATTGTAAGTTTTTATTGAACATTTTGGAAATTATTTTGTAAAAAAATAGAATTATTTTTAAAGTTTTCTTTTAAATGTTGTAGAACTATTCTAGGATATTTTTTTTTTATTTACAGAGTTTTAATACTGTAGAATAAGGAAAATATTGGATAATACCCAATGAAAATCATTCAGTTTTTGAAATGCTATCGCTACTGAGTGACCATATCCAAAGAAACGCTATTAAAAAAGACTTTCAGATGTTAATAAAATTAAATTTTACAAAAAGATGGTAAAAACATTTAATTGCTTAGTTTTAGGAAATAAATATGAAATCTATTTGTTTACAAATGAAATGAAGAAGAAAAAAAGAAAATACAACATGATGTCTAAAATCTATGTTTCAGTTTTAAAAAAAACAAAAAATTTGTGGTAAAATTAAGTTAACAACAAAATAGTAAAAGTGAAAAAAAAAATAGTTGCCAGTTTCATCTTAATGTTAAATTTTATGAAGTTGGTTTTTTGTAATTGTTTTCTGTAGTAAGCCAATGAGTGCACCAATCATGAAATAAACTTGTAAACAAGAAAAAATGTTTCTATTTAGCGAATACACCTAAAATTAGATATTAAAACAAATAAAGTAAATTTTAATCTCAGTTTTAAAATGTGTATATTTTCAAAACTGTAAGTCATTTTTTTAAAACCCAAAGTAAAAACTATTCTTTTTTTGCCACTAGTGTTTGGTGGGTGTTTTACTATTCTGCCTATAAAATTCTTCTAAACAAGGAAAATTAATTCATTTTATTTTTACAAATATCTTTATGGTTTTATCTTGTGAATACACTTAAGATCCGTCTATATTTCTGAGATGAGGTATTGTGTACACTATTTACATTATTTGGGCTACTGTCCTCATCTTTGTTGCCATATTTATCACAGCGTTTTGGCCGTTGTATGCTCTGGCCTTCTTCAGGTGGTTGGAATATCGAACTGAACCCTTTATTTTGCTCACTGGGGTAGACTGTTCTAGTTCCACATGTCATGTCTAATGGATGTTAATTATCAGTTATCTCCTGTTAATTCCCCTCTCCAAGTTCTCCACTGCCTTAACCAGGTATTGAACTCACACTCTTTGTCACTGGATCTAACTAACACCTTTATCCACTGTACCATGTGTCCATGTGTATGATTTTCTGGTACTTATAAACCTAATGTCTTCAGCAACCGTTTTTTACCAGTGCTCATATTGCAATTTTTGCTGTTAAAAAACATACAATGATAACAGCAAAAATTGCAATATGAGCACTGGTAAAAAATGAGTGCTGAAGACATTAGGTTTATAAGTCCCAGAAATTCATACACAGATGTCCTCAAGGACACATGGCACAGTGGATACATGTGTTGGTTAGATCCATTTTAAAAGCCACATCATAAACTAATTTCTGGAGAGCTATATACCATTTTTCTCTCTCAAAATGTGTTGTCCAAAGTCACAAATATAGATATTTTATGCGACGATTTCTTTTGTATTTTGCCAATTTGTTAAATAAATATGGTAGTTATCTATATAGTTAACAATTTATTTGAAAGTTTAATAAATAAACTTTAATTGAAAACAAGTGTCTGTCAGTGTCAGAAAGTAGTTTCAATAATTTGACAGTTCTTTTTATCACATGTTTATTTATTACTATCAGTTGCTCTTTTTTTTCTTTCTCTTTTTTGCTGCTTACTTTATCATTTTTAAAGGAATTTGCTTCCATGGGTCAGAGAAGAAATGAACATCTTCCTGGTTGTAGTTTAAGGTGTCTTCTCATTGAGTGTACAATTTCAAGAATGTTGATAAAGATTGGTCACTTTGATTTTGCAGAACAACGTAACGTGTAAAATTTAGTCTCAGAAAAAAAAAAATCATATTTTGCGTTTTAGTCTGTTCAAAGCAAAATACTCCCTGTAAAAAAAATAACTCAATGAATAAACACACATACAAATTACATATTTAGAAAGATTATTTTATTTTATTTTCATCCATATGAATATTTTTAATATTGGGCAAGAAATACATGAGAAATTGTGAGTTGAACAGACTAAGTTGCAAATTTATCAATCTCAAATGAAATCAGATACCGACTATAAGAAAACGAATGGCTTCCTTAGAAAGCAAAAATACTAAATTAAAAACTGAATTGAAAACTGCAGTATCAAGGAAAAAAAAACGGAAACCGATACCAAAACATAAATTGTCAAACTAACCAACTCTACTCTATTTCCAGAATGCTAAGATGCAACAAATGGTAAAATCACCCTATAATTAGATAGGTATTTTTAGGAAAGAAAAAAATTATTTTTAATAGCTTACTGTACTAGCAAGTCCAAGTTTCTGACTTTATGGTGTGATTTTTTTTGTTCAGTCACAACAAATGACCACATTTTGGACCTATTGTGAAATATTTGTGGTTATTTTTAATTGGATTTTCAATACAGGGCATGTCCCTAAAGTATGGACACATAAGCAAAAATGCATATAAGCATATGGGGGAAATATGTTTTATCTCTCTCTCTCTCTCTCTCTCTATATATATATATATATATATATATATATATATATATATGAAGTAAATATATTTCTCCTTCTTTTATTCAGTATTTGTCAGTTCACTTAATTTTGTATTTTGTTTATTTCCAGTGCAATCAGCCTGGTTGTGACTGGGCCTTCACTACTGCCTACAAACTTAAACGACATGTTGAATCTCATCAAGGCAGAAAAGATTACATTGTAAGTTCAACTTTCATTTATCGTAAAGCATCTTTTTATGTTTACACATTTTGGTAAATGGCAGCAAAATGATTGTCACATTTATAGTGTAACTGAAAACATCTGTGTTTTGAGTTGAAAAGTTCATAGTCAACTTATGACCTTTTCAGCCCCCACCCTCATAGGTTGAACAGTATTTTTATTTATTTTTTTTTAACTTTTTAATGTAAGCATTTTTTTTTTTTTTTTTAAAGCTTCACAATTTTCTTTTTCCTTCCTTTAAGTTATCAATCTCTTGTTGACTATTTTGTAAATGTAATGATTTTGGTCCTCACTAAGTGCTCTAATAATGTGGGCTTACAGCCATATCTTGTTAACACACCAGTTCTAGTACAATCACTGGAGTTAAATAATATCAAGCTTGGTTAGTACCTAGATGGGTAACTGATTATGAATACCATGTGCTGTAAGCTTGTGTGTGTGTGTGTGGGGGGGGTGTAATGGATAAAAGCTTGGAATTGTAAAACTGTAAGCCAAGTTCCAATTCCAATTGGGTTTGTCATATTCACATGCACAAAGACCCTTGGGAAAAGTATGAATTTACTTCCACTCCTCCAGCTATGGGTTAATTAATAAGACTTGTGTCAGTACATTATTATTATCTCAAAAAATTCTTACAATCTAAAAATATTTCTGACTTTAACTAACCTTCAAAAGGTTGATAAGCCATAAAAAATCAAATCAATCAAACCTACTATTGTGGCTTTGAGCTTCATAACTATAGAAAATTAATTTTTTTAAATCTGAAAAATCTTTAAGTACCTGTCGCATCTTTACTTTTGGCATACATTGAGTGATTCTTTTTTGCAATTACAGTGATATCAGAGAAAGCAATACAAATGTAGAAGGATGTAGACTTATATTTTTTTAGAATATGCAAAGGCATTTGACAAGGTATGGCACAATGGTCTGTTTGAACTGCTGGGAAAACTTTTGATCTATTTGGAAAAGATGTTAGAATAATCCAGAACTTATACTGGGAGTAAACCGCTTGCATACAGATAAAAAATGAATTGAGTAGCTACCCAAAAATAGAAAGGGGGCATGAGACAAGGAGGTGTCTTCTCTCCAGATTTATTCAACCTCTACAGTGAGATTATCTTAAGGGAGCCGGAGACCCTACCAGGATTTATTATTGGTGGGCATAATCTTAACAATATAAGAATGCAAATGACGATGTGTTGATGGCTGACACAGAAAACTATAGAACCTCCCAGGGTAGTAACAGAAAAAAAAAGAAAATTGGATTAACCATGAACTGTAAGAGGGACCCTATAGTCATCATCAAGAGGGAAAGCTCAAGGTGTGAGTTAGAAATTGGAGATGTCAACATCAAACAAGTAGAGAAGTTTATCTGGGACATGTTTTAACAGAGGATGGAAAATGTAACACCAAAATCCAAACACGCATTGGATGAGCGAAAGAAATATGCCTTCCAAAAGCTAAGCAAAGTAATAAGAAACAGGAAAATTTTGTTAGAAACAAATAAAAAAAAGCACTGAACTGCTATTTGATATCCATCCTGTTATATAAGACAGTGAATGTTGGGCAAACTCTCTGTAAATGAGGAGAAAAATGGAGGCAACTGAAATAGAAGGATACTGAAAATTTCATAAACGGAGTGAGGAAGCAACAAGGAAGTCTTAAAGGAAAATGGTAACAAAAAGAACATTTCTGCTCAGAATCAGGAAGAGACATCCGAAATTCCTTGGATACATAATGAGGAAGTAGGGATTAGAAAACCCTCACAAGGCATATTAAGGGTCGAAGAGATAAGCGAAGGCAGAAAGTCATCTGACGAGCTTTTGTGAATGGATAGCGGAACAAGAGAGATGAGTCTTAGCAAAGAAAAAAAAAAACTTCTAAGGGCCACAAGGTATAGGAAGTTTTGGAGAGCCATGATCACCCATGTCTTGAAGGGATGCAGCACATAGAAGAAGAATACGGAACCTTCATCCTCTTTTTCTTCTAAGAACTTAGTTGATCATGACTCACACCATCTGTTTTGTTTTTAATGCAAAGTAGACCTACTGACACCCAATCTACCCTGCTGTTTAACCCATAGCTGGGGGAATAGATATCCTTTCCCAAAGGCATTAGTGTGAAGGCAATAAACTAGAATCAAATTTAAATTCAGTACACTTCATCTTTTAAACAGGAGTAGAATTGTATCTCTTATTTCCTGTTTAGGATTTGGTTTTTGGTTCCTTCTAAAGTCTACATATACTCAGACTCAGTGGAAAGAGTACTGACAATGACTAAACCATTAACCAAGATGAGACATCCGTAGACATGAACAGCAGTGAGAACAAACTATCTCTCTAGATTGAATAAAGGGTTCAATTTGTAATTCCCTAAAGGTTACCTGAATCAACAGGCACCTGAAGAAAGCTGGAGGCCATATTGGCCAAAATCTTGTGATCATAACAAAGATGAGGATATTTAATTTTTCTTATTAAGTCGTCAAGAATTCTTCCTTTTCCTCTCAAAGGAATCATTTGATGGCTTCTTTTTGGCTATCCTAAGAATTTGTAGTTAAGGGACACACAAGCTATTACAGAATGTAACACTGGTGTTTAACCTGGTAATGGTGGAATGAGCAGAATTACAATACGGTTTTTATTAAAAAAAAGAAACTTTCTTTTTTATGAGACTTTCTCAAACCTTTTTTCTACCTTTTTAATGCACAAAGGTTGTGCTTACTCTGTTGCCACAGTGATTTTGTAGAAACATGTCTGGGGAGACAAAGAATCTGTTGAATAAGTTTAAACTATTTTTTTCTTTCATTTGTTTAAATCTTCTTCCATTGCAGTGTGATATTGATGGCTGTGGTAGAAAATTCACAACTATCTATAATTTAAATTCCCACAAGAAGCTCCATGAGCGACCTTGCAATGAAGTGTGCCCCAAACCGAACTGTGATCAGCGCTTCCCAACCAAACGTCAATTAGACCTTCACCTCAAGAATCACACTGATGTTGAGAAAACATACAAGTAAGTTGACCATTGCTTCTCCTTCTGGTGTTTAAAATGAACAGGTATTTTTTGAAAGGAGATGTTGAGCATGGAATTTTTAAGTAGGTATTTTTCAAGGGGATGTTGAACAGATATATTTTGAAGGGGATTTTTTAAGCAGGTAGTTTTTAAACATAATTTTGAAGGGGGATGTTGAGCAGGTATTTTTGAAGGGTGATTTTTTAAGTGGGTATTTTTTTTTTTTTTTTGAGGGGAAATGTTGAACAGGTATTTTTTTTTTTTTTTTTGAAGGGGGATGTTGAACAGGTATTTTTTTTTTTGAAGGGGGATGTTGAACATGTATTTTTTTTTTTTGAAGGGGGATGTTGAACAGGTATTTTTTTAAGGGAATACTGAGCAGGTATTTCTAAACGTGATGTTCAGCAGGTATTTTTGAAAGGGATTTTTTTTCAAGTAGGTATTTTTAAAGTGGGATGTTGAGTAGGTATCTTTAAACATGTATATTTTTTAAGGGGATGTTGAGCAGGTATTTCTAAAGGCAATGTTGAGCGGCTATTTTTGAATAGGGATGCTTTGTTTATTTTTACATTGCGGGGGTGGAATCAAGTCCCAATCTAGTCATATAAATTTAGTCTCTATTTTTTAGTGATTTTACTGGCACAACCTAAGTGGACTGAATCACTCATGAAATATGAAAAAAAAAAAAATGGGGAAATACTTGTACTTTTCATTCATTAGACTTTTCTCAAACCATGACATGTCAAATCGTGTTAGAATCAAAAAATTTTTTAATTGAGTTAGAAGTGGGGAGGTCTTGTTCATAATATCGATACCTTATTCTTTTATCATTTATGTTCTATTAATCTTTTAAGAAACGGTAAATGGTATTGTAAAAGTACATGACCAGACTGACCACAAATGTTGAGCTTCACATTTCTCTGATTCATCCATGTATTACTTGTTTTTCATCAAGTTGATTCAAATTTCTTTGACAATATCTTCATATAATTTCATAGCATCATTATTCAAAGTATTTTCTCTGGTTTCTATTGTCAGAACAACTCCAGTTTTGAATCAGTTTTTTTTTTTTTTTGTATCTTCAACTTGTGAATCACTGTCCAAACAATTAGTTGGACTGAGGGATAGTGGCTCAGGCTGAGGAATTGGAGATCCGAGTTCAAATTCCTGTTGAATTCGTTACATTCACTTACGTGTTAATACCCTTGGGAAAGGTATGAGTCCATCTCTCCCCACTTCCTAGCTATGGGTAAATAGCAGGACAGACTGGGTCCTATAGCCTTGGGTGTCAACCAATTTAGGGGAAGGAAAAACTCTGAATTCAATCCAGCCTGGGGAGGGTTGGGCCAGGACACACCCTCTGCTGCTGCAGCTACAGTACATATGGTGCCCCCTATGACCCTAATGGGTTATGGGTCTTAAGTTGCAAAAAGAGATTGTCTGGAAGTTAATGCTACATGTAGAAGTACTTCTCAGTCATGGTTGCATGCATTTGCATCATGACAAGGTAATTATCATGCATCAAATTTAACAGTTTAAGCAGTAGCGGTATGGCCATGTTCCAGCAGTTCATAATAAGAATGTTTCTTTTGAATTCTACCAAACATCATCTTCTTTTCTCTGCTATGTTTGTTCAGGACATTTTTTTTATTCATTTTGTCCCACTGATAAATCCACTAAGATGCAAGGGGTTACTACGAGTGAAAGAAACTGAGGAAATGTTACCGAAAGAACAATAAAAGAACTGGATTCAAAAAGACGAAAAATGACGATTGACATTGCATTTAAATTTAAAATTTTTGAAGATCATAGAACATGAACGATCAGGGATCTTTACAACTACTTATCTTTCGTAGCTCTAAATAATATTTAGCTCGTTACTATCTCTCTCAGTTTCTGTTGTGCCATCCATTTACATAAGCTCATTAGGTAGCTTACTTTCTGTTTCCCTCTGTTTTCTTTGCCTTCAGTATGCCCTGTGAATATCAAATTCTCCAAGCCTTCTTTTTGCATTATATGTCCCAGAAATTTCAGCTCTCTCTTTCAAATTCTAAGTACAAATATTTCCATTTTCATTAAAACTTTCTCATTTTTCACATGGTTCAATACTGAAAAGAATTTTTCCTGTAGAATATTCTACTTTGGTTAAGATTTTAAAGGTTGTTCTGGATCGCACAATCAGTCCATTAAGTACCATATGTGATACACGTATAGGCGGTCATGTTTCTCTTGATTAATGACTGACTAAGCAGAAGATTTTCCTGCAGTAGGTTGCTGTTTCTTTCTGCAGTAGACTGGTTGCTAACCAAGGCTATAAGGCTGATTCTGTCCTGCTATTCAACCCATAGCTAGAGGGAGAAGAGATAGATTCATACCCTTTCCTAAGGGTATTTCCACATGAGTGAATGTAACAAACTGAACTGAAATTTGAAATCACCTCTCTGAATTCTCATTTCGACCATAGACTTTCTTGATTTTGTATTCTCAGAGCAATGATTAGCTTGTATAAAATTAACTTTTCTGTGTCAAGCAATTTTGTTAAATATCGACTGACTTTCCTTTTCATCATTCTACATAAAATCTACTTTCCTTCAGATATTTTTCCTGAAACTTAGAAACTGACGACACATGTAATAGCAAGCTGAGTAAACTTCAAAGGCTCTTCAAAGATTTCCCTAATATAGTTCAAAACCTGGTCTTGGAGATAATTATTTTGTCTTTTTTACTAAAGCTCACCCAATACAAAGCTCAAGCCACTCAAGGTAGATGATTAATGAATGAGGTATGTGATATGAATGAAAGAGGAGGTAGAAGGGAGTGAAAATTATGAGGATAAGGAGGATAAATAATGATTGATCCTTGAAGACTCGACACTACAATCGATAAGATTGTAGTGTTGAGGGTTACTGTTAGAATGTTTTATGATGAAAGGAGCGTTGAATATGAAAGAAAGTGGAGTTAGTAGGAAGTAAAGATTATGAGAATAAAGAGGATAGATAGCAATTGGTCCTTGACTTGAACAGATTAAGAGTTTAGTGTTCAGGGAAGCACATGCAGAAATCTGTTCCATAAAGTGGCAGTTCTTGGAGGGAAATATCATCTTTACAGCTGGAATATCATAGAAATGTGCATAGTTTGATTCTGTGGACATAGCCTGTTGAGTTGTAGCTTTAAAGGTCTGAAATGCTGTAGCTAAAGAGTGAACATTTGCTATTGAAATAGTGATAAAATAACAACGTTGCATCTGGGGAAGCGCGGCTGGAAAGTGGAAAATAAGTCCTCCCCTACAGGACGTGGTAAAAGATTTTGAACTCCATCATAGCTGGAAAGTGAAGATAAGCAGCTCTGGATATAGTAGCAATGCTTCATTTTTGGTGTAATCTTTTGTATTGAGTTAAAATAATGATAATGGTAACTGATTGGTTCTCAGACACTCAATTTTCTTGTTTTTATTATGTTTTCGTCATTCTCCAGCCTCTTTAATGTTGTCAGAAATAAGTTTTGTCTATTTCTAATTGTGCTGAATTTTTCTTTTATTTATAGTCTCTGTGACAGCTGCATAGGATATTGTATTTGCAGTTCTTGATTAATTTTTTTTTTTTTTAATATTACTCTTCAGGTGTCCAGTGGAAGGCTGTGACAAAGTTTTCTTGTCTCCAAACTGTATGGGCTCCCATGCTCGAGTACATCAGCAAGATCGGGATGAGTTGGTGTGCAAATACGAAGGCTGTGGCAAAATGTTCAGCAAAGTGTGTCGGCTTAAACTACACATGCGTTGTCATACTGGTGAGAAGCCATACCAGTGCAGATTTGATGTGAGTAATACTTTTTTACCTTTTCTTCTTTTAAATTCTTATTTCTGGTACACATTTCTAGTACATTTAGTGACATGAATTTGCCAAATAAAAGAAAAAGCCACTTTGGATTCAGAGTTAAAGGTTCCTGACACCTACCTAGAATTTAAGGTCAGCTACTGACTTTTTATTATATTTTTATATTTAATGTTGAAGTTAATTCTCTCCATTGGATCTTTGGGAGATACGAAGAATGTACAGTATTATCCATCTTGATACCAGAAATATTCAGAATAGAGACAAACTGTATTTATGTATTGCTTAATTGTGGACTGAACATGTGAGCAACGACGAAGTTTTGGAGAAAATGGAAACAAAAAGGAAACTAATACATAACATCATGAAAAGACAGATGAGGTTTCTCGGGTATTTAATGAGGAAGGAGGACTTGGAAAATCTGATCCTCACAGGACTGATAGAAGGCAAGTGGGACAGGAGAAAACAAGGCATAACATACTTAGTGGGCTTGAGTAAATGGATGGTGAAACAGGGTTTAGGAGAAATAACAGACAAAGTTTATTAAGAACTATAAGGGACAGAAAGTTGTGGAGAGCCATGATCGCCTAAGTTGTCCTGAGGGGACATGGCACATAAAGATAAGGAAGTTATATTTTGCAGAAGTCTTACTCACATTTACAGTTATAAGCAAACAAGTAAATAATTTTTAGGGGTGTATTTAGCGTTCAATGGGTGAAGATTGCTTCTACGAAAATTTAATTCCTGTGTATTTTTTCAAATCATTTCATCTCAAGCAAGGCAATAAAAGCTACTAAGATGCAAGGGGTTACTGAGAGTGAAAGAAACAGAGAGGACAATAACAAAACAGAATTCAAGGAGACAGATGATGACGATTGACATCACATTTAAATTTTTGAAGATTGTAGTTGACAGGGAAGCTGGAAAAGAAGTGTTGGAGAAGAAACTATTAGAATAGAACTTATAGTTACAACTTGCAATTTCAACAGTGAATTTATGAGACCTAGCTGCCAATCTAGTACTGTCTTTAAATTCATGAAGTTTCAGTACCACATTTACTAAACATTTATTTTCCTACTTCAATAACTAAAACAATTAACAAAATCACAGAAATTTCTATCTGTTGGTAAGAACAATCACTGAAAGAATTATTGATATGGCATCATTGAAGGAA